AGAGAAATAAAATCAACTGTCATTTATCTGTGCCTCGGTAACTGAGTTGATTGTATTTACCGGAAGGTTTCTGTTCTGCCTTTTAGACCTGCCTGGGTCATTTCCCTATTCATCACACCCCAGTGACTAAGCTGAACAGATTTATCATGAGGCCTGTTCTTTTCTGTTGGCCTGGGTCACTTCCATGTGCATGAGCATCTGCATCCTAAAGTGGCCTGATTCTCAAGCCCCGATGGGATGTCAGTAGCCCGTGTGTCTAATAGAAGACCCATGCCAAAGCCGCTGTGACAGCTTTCCAGCTCACAGTAATGCCATTGGCCTCTAGCTAAACTGTTATGATCCACTCAACGGTGTACACTGTGTGGCCACTTTCCTCCCCTTCCTGTACACTGTCAGGAGGTCATAAGGCAGCACCAGGGGTTGACCTCTCAGGACCCACAGCAGCAGAGCCCACCTGGGTACACCTGTCTAAAAACCGCAGCTCAGCAGTAGCTGCTCAATAAAGACATTGTTCTCTGCATCCCAAAGCCAGGAATTCAAAATAAAGCTTGGCTTCCATGCAAAACATTAATGTGGTTGAGTCCTTCATAAAAGTTGCAAAACTAAATAAATAAAAGTTACTCCCCCAGAATGACCTACTTTGTACCACCCTTGGCCCCACTCTGCACATTCTCTCTACTGACCGATGTTAATATAATATCTCCTTCCCAATGGTGGTATAGGTTGAATATCCCTTACCTGAAATGCTTAGGACCAGAAGCGTCCTGGGTTTGGAATGTTTTTCAGATTTTGCAATATTTGCATTATACCTACTGGCTGAGCATCCCAAATCCAAAACTCCAAATCTGAAATGCCCAATAAACATTTCCTTTGAGCGCCATGTCAGCACTCAAAAGTTCTGGATTTGAGAGTATTTTGGGTTTTAGGATTTAGGATGCTCAACCTGTACATCCTTTCTGTAGAAGCTGTGACACTGAAGCTAATGGCCAAAGTAATACAACAGACCTTGCATGGGTCTCAGCACATCCAGGACAATCAAATGCAACTGACTAGAGAAAGCCTGAAATTAACCCTAAAGCAGAAAGTCCACAGCAGTCACAGAGCTTCACCCAGGCTACGCTGTCTCAGAAGGCACCTGCTGTGATTTTGTAATGAAGCCTTTAATAAACTCACACAATGTGAGAGGTAGAAGGTCCTTGGAAACTTAGGACCAGGAAGATGCACAGGACAAGAGAAGTGGGTAAATGCAAAACATATACCAGCCACTGGATATACTTATATACTTATGAATATGGTGTCTACAATGGAGAATGGGACACAGGGTTTCAAGTAGTGGAAACCCCATGGCAAACAATCCCAAAGCTTCCCCCTAGTTAGAATTCACAATGGTGAATTCCCACACCTGTAATCCCAGGGCTTTGGGAGGCTGAGGTGGGAGGATCACTTGAGCCCAGGAGTTCGAAACCAGCCTGGGCAACATGGCAAAACCCTTTCTCTGCCCCCCACAAAAATAAATAAATATTTACTTATTTTTTGTAGAGATAGGTTCCCAAAGCACTGGGATTTATAGGCATGAGCCACTGCACCCAGCCTTACAAAAAACGTTTTAAAAAATTAGTCAAGCATGGTGGTGCACACCTGCAGTCCCAGCTACTCCGGAGGCCGAGGCAGGAAGATGGCTTGTGCCAGAGAGATCAAGGCTGCAATGAGCCATGATCACGCCACCACACTCCACTCTGCGTGACAGAGCAAGACCTTGTCTCAAAAAAAAAAAAAAAAAAAAAATAGGGTTAAGGGTTACACGAGATTTCCCATTTGTCAAAATTGTCAAGATTTGTGCATTTCAATCTACGTAAGTTCCACCTTAGATTTTTTTTACCTTAACAAAATCAAGTAGGAGCAGTGAGTAGATGGAGGTAGAGATGAAAAAGAATGGTAGCTGATACTTGAAGCAGCTGGGTAATGGGTATAAGGTTCCTCATACCTTTCTGTTTACCTTGCATATACTAAAATTCTCCACTATGACAAGTTTAAAATGAAGACAGAACTAGAACAAGTCTTAAATCAGGCTAGAGCTTAACTTTTAGAGGTATAAGCAAAACACTCAGGGAGAGTGAGACTGAGGAAGGAACATGTGAACTAGAGAGAGGACAGGACAGCATGCTCCTGGTGGTCCCCAATGCTACAGATGAGACAGGATCACCAGAATACCCTAAAGGCCCAAATCAGCCATGCTTGCTCCACACATGGCTGAGAAAGCTACCTGCATGTCCAAGGCAGAGTGCAATATACACCTTCTAACAGCATACTTATGAGAATAGTGTCTATAAAAGAACATTTTAAACAACTAAAAGAGATACTGCAATGTTACTTTTGACAAGTTACTATTGAGTTTCCATTCCTGTCATCTCAACTTAGGGACTAGAAACAAAAGAGTATTTAAGAAATATCTCAACATGACATTTTCAAAGATGAACTGTATCAACTCCCTACTTGCTAAACCACTGTATAAAATTCCAATATTTTTATATACATTTCAGTGTGTCCACATACTTCAGAGAAAAGGGACTAGGATCTAGCTGCAGGCAGAGAATGTTAGTGGTAAGCATAGCCACCTTCCAAGCAGTAGACCTGGCTTCACTTCCTGGCCAACACAAAAAAATAGTAATAATAAAATGAAGAGAATGTTAGTGTCAACAAGTGGCCAAAAAAGGGACATCATCCTCTTACCTTCGGCCCTGATCCAACCGTCCATGAGGGCCCCGGGCAGGAAATCTGTTCAGGTGGCTCAGGTGAAGTGTGTGGGATGTCTGGAAGAGACTCAGAGCTGCAGAAGGGAAATGACTGGTGACTCAAAAACCCTAAAAACCAGCCGGGCGCAGTAGCTCACATCTGTAATCCCAGCACTTTGGGAGGATAATGCGGATGGATCACTTGAAGTCAGCGAGTTCAAGACTAGCGTGGCAAACACGGTGAAACCCCGTCTCTACTAGAGATACAAAAAATTAGCCAGGCGAGGTGGTGAATGTCTGTAGTCCCAGCTACTCAGGAGGCCGAGGCAGGAGAATGGCTTGAACCCAGGAGGTGGAGGTTGCAACAAGCCAAGATTGGGTCATTGCACTCCAGCCTGGGCAACAGAGCAAGACCCCATCAAAAAAAAAAAAAATTCCTAAACACCTATCCAGATCACCCACCTTTCTTCCAGTACACAGAAGTACCCACCTCTATGCTAATGGACTTTCAGCGACAACCTGAAAGTCCATTGATCCAGACTACCCCATAAAGCCACACTCAACAATAGTGCCACTCGTACTCACGCTTCTGAGGAAAGAGTGGGGGAATCCGGTGAGGCTGGAAGATCAACTGAGGCTGAGCTCCCAGGATCCCTTGCTTCTGGCCCAGGGCTGCTACATGCAGAAGGGGAGGTGCTGGGGACTTCAGTAGGGGCTGCAGAACAGGAGCCAGGAAATTCAGGGGACCCCATGGTTGAGGCACTCACTACCTTGGAAAGATGCAGTCCCACCCCCTTGAGAAAAGTCAGGGTTTTGCCCAGCTGTCAGGCACAGGGGCTTCCATCCCTCCCCTTTCCAATGCACATGCTAAGGAGAGATGAATACCTGATTGGAGAGTGTTTGCACCTTGACAGCATTCCAGGGCACTGCCTGGCCTGGGTTGTATGCAGCCTTCACCAGCACCTTCTCACCCAGCTGGGGCAGCCGGCCCTTCACCACACTGCCAGCACACAAGCCAGGAGGCCCCGTTAGGAGAGGGACCCTGGCCAAGCCACCCTGACTGCCCCATGGGGCCTTTCCATCAAGATTTCCCACACCTTGCACAAAAACAGCAAAGCAATGGCTTTGGGGAGGGGGGTGGGCAATCCCAGCACGGTGACAGAACGGAATCCAATAAGCATTTCCAGTAGGGGACCAACCTCAAGCCTACCTTAGCTGAAAAAAGACCTCTTCATCCACAACCCCAAAGTAGTCATGCAAGCTGGTAACAATACCAGTGAAGACCCGCTGTTTCTCCCCACCCTGTAAGAAAAGGGAGCAGTTGAAAAGTAAAAGAGAGGAAGCTGGACAAAATCACACTCTGCCATGAAAGTCTCATCTCAACCCACACCCCTGCTCAGCGTACTGCATCAAGAGTTCACACAGAGTGAAGTACAGGTGTGTGGTGGGCATACGCCATCATTAAGGGTCGGGGCATGTTTGAGCTGGTTCTTGACCCACAATCTTCTTCTGGGACTTCCAGTTCATTAATTCCAAGACGTATACTAAAGATTTCCCTGGAGCGAGAAATGAAGATGCCCCAGTCTGAAGGCTATCTGGGAAACTCCACATTACTACTACCAGGAGAGGGGTCAGGAATGATAAACACTATTATGTAAGAGATGAAGAGCTCCAGACCTCCATGCATCCAGTCCCAAGGGCAGAAACTACAAGGGATGCCCAACCTACCTGAAGGTGCCTGGCATTCTGGGACAGTTCTGTGGCCACAGGAGGAGTGAGCAAACCAGGAGGAGGGCCCAGAAGAGATGTTGAAGCTGTGCCTATGGGGAAAGAGAAGCAATCTACAGGAACCGCCCCTACCACCTTAAGCACTAGAGTCAACCAAAGGATGTGGTAAATCCAAAGGCTACAGCTCCAGCCAGCTCCTCCACAGGGCTTCACTGGCAACCACGGTGGGAATCTCCTGTTTTCCAGAGGAACATCAGCAGCAAACTGCTCTCCACCAGGGAAACCCCAAACTAACTCCACAGCACATACTTCCCAGGATGAGGCCAGGTAGGGAAAAAAGTGATCACCTGAGAAGTTGCGTCCCCCTGGAAGTGGGTTGATCCGCTGGCGCTTAAACTGGGACATTGGGAACGCTGTCCTCTTTCAGAGTCGTGGGGAAAAGCCTTCAATCCAAAAAGAAAGAAGTTAACAGCTCACACGGGAAATTTCCATCTATACCTGGAAAAGTGGAGAATCTTAAGTAAGGATATTAATGAAAACATGGAGGTGGGTAATGAGAATGAATGAAGGCAATGGATGGAGAGAATATAGAGAAGTAGGAAATGGAACAATAAATTACATTGTTTCAGTTTGCCCTCACAATAACCTAGTGGTGGGTCATATTGTCATGCTGTTTTACAGACAAGGAAACTGGTGCTCAGAGAGATCAAGAGACTTGCCCGGGGCCACATAATCAGGTAGTGACAAAACTGGTACTCACACCCAGGCCACCCAACAACTTAGCGCTCCTCTCACTATGCCACGCCACCCCCAGAGTAGTTGGCGGGGTGAGGGGCTGGAGAGAGCCCCGATGACATTCCTTCATTCAAAAACATCCGCCAAAACCCTCCACGCAGGGCCCGGAAAAATGGAGGAGGCCGGTGCCGGCGAGGAGATGGTGTGAGCCCTCTCCCCGGAAGCCCGACCCGTTGTTTCCTCGACCGGCTGGTGGGAAGGCAGCTCCCTGGCCGACCGAACGCGAAACCGGCTGCGCGCCACCCTCCTGCTCCCACGCTCCCGGGCCCTCCGCTCCGGCCTCAGCAGCCGCCAGCGCCAAGTCTCCCGGCAGGGCCGCGGCGAGGCCACCGAGGGAGGACTGAGGCGCGCGGTTTCTCCTCCTCCCGCCCGCCCCCAAGGCCGAGACCGTTGCCAGGGAGACGGGACTTGCAGTCCAAAGAGGGGCTCGGCCCCTTCCGCGCCCCACGCATCTTCGCCGCCCGGCCCTCGCAGTCCCTCGGTCAGCGAAGGGACGGAGGGGCGAAGGGGCAGAGGGGCGGCGAGGGGCCCCCTAACCCACCTGCGGGCCAGGGCAGCGACACCAGGGGGACAAAGACACCCGGAACCACCACAGCCGCTGCTGCCGCCGCCACCGGAAGCGCCTCTCCGGAAGCGCGACCACTGGTCGGAAGCTGCCACTCTCCCGGATATGGTCCCTCCCTCGTCTCCGCCGACCTCTCCCTTCCCCCACGCCGGCCTGCCATCCCGCGGCAACTGGGGAGCGGAAGTGCGCCTTCCCGGATCGGATGCGCGTCAGGAAGTCGCGCCTCGATAGTGTCCTCGCTAAAGAATCCCATCAGAAAAGAAGGCTTCGGATCATTGGTTCCGGAATCTAAGGCAGCGGGAGCTGGACTACCCCAAACACAAGGAACCCCCGACTGCTTACCACGCCCGCCTCCCTCTGGCAGTCGAGACTGCAACAGATGAGGAAACCAGCCCCTCCTGACTGGAGGAGGAGGATGCCTATCAGTGGCCATTTCTAAGAGACATTCCTGTGTCTGACTCAAGCCAGTGACCCCCATGCCTATAGCCAGTCAGGAATCAGTGCCCTAATTCTCAAATATGAAATCTAAGGGGCCTCAATGAAGTGGCCTGCTCAAAATCTTGCCAGAGATCTGCCAGTTTAGTCCTCATTAGCAATCCCATGCCCCCCTTATCCCTCCAGCCTTGCTTTCCCCGTTCCTATTCACTTAACGTTTACAAAGCACTTTGAGGCAGTTTAATCTCACTTTATCCTCATAACAAGTCTGTGAGGTAGGTAGGGCAGGCATCATTATTCCCAGCTGGAAACTGTGGCTCAGAAAGGTTGATTTAGGGTCTAAAAACTAGTACAGGCATCTGGTTTGAGTTAGGGCCTGTAAACGCTAGCACGGGGGAGAGAAGCTGAGCACTGGCTTTGAAAGTTATTCTTCTGTTCCCAGGTTGTCCCTGATCTTCCTCATTTCTGGTGCAGTCTTCAGGAGTCTGGGGCAAGACTCCATGCAGAGGCAGTCAAAGCCACACCGTTCTCTGTCCCAGGGCTGCCAGCACGGCTCTGAGGCAGAAAGCTCAGTAACTGCCCACTGGGGAATAAAGGTCAGTTCCATCCTTCTGCAGTGACCTCCCCCAGAATATCAGCCCTTTGGATGCATTATTTCAGAAGAGATGGTTGGATCCAGCCAGCTTGCAACACTGACAGTCACACAGAGATATGCATACCATTGTGCATAAATACACATCTGCAACATGCTGGGCCCAGACAGGTCACCGTGTCAAAAACACTCCATGGACACCTGATAATGAGTGAGTTCACATTGTGGAAGCCCAGGGATTTCTGGTGAGGAGGAACAGCCCTGGAGCTGCCGCATCTTGGGGGCCTCTCAAGAAACCAGGGCTCCTGACCAGACTGCTTAGAGGAGAAAGATTCACCCTCCACTCAAGAGAGGAGGGCAGGCGTCAGCAGCTTTTCCTGGCAATGTGGAGAAGCAGCAACAGGGCAAACGGCGAGGAAGACTTCACAGCAAGTCCCCTCCACCCAGGGTCACCAGGTGCACCGAGAGGTCTCAGCCTACAGAAAGGTTTTGTGCTCGTTGTTTCTTAACCACTAATGACGGCATAAAGGTTTTCCGGTGGGGGCGGCACTGAGGCCTTTCAGGGAGGTCCCTGGACTCGATCCTGTGGAATAAAAAGAAGACATTAGGCTAGGAAGAGAAAATAAAACTAACAATGGTCCTAGAGTTGAGAAAACATGATTCATCTACTGGCAGGTAGCAGGGTGGGGGTGTGACCTGGGGCTGTTAAATGACTTGGTACTTCTTACCCCTGGAGAACTATTCGGTACAAGCCCCGAGGCACGATGGCCTTCACTCACTGTGAAATCCTTTGTGCTCCACCTTGCTCTCCCCACAAACCTGGGAGGTGGCCTAAATGTCAGCATTGAGGGTGAGGGGTTGCTGAGCTGGGGTTAGCAGATTTCCCACATTCTGGTCCTGGCTGTCGCTGACGTGTGGCTTTGGAAAAGCAACTACCCCCATCCGCACCCAAAACCCAGCCTCCTTATCTGCAAATAGGGTGTTTTAACTACTGTTTCTTCTAGCAGCCCCTCCCAGACTGCCTCTCAAGTTTCGCGGGGACAATACTGACAACTGGCATGACAATCTCTGCATCCTGGCTCATCAGTCTCCTCTCCGTGCCCTAACCTGGGCTGGGCACGGGGCTCACCTGGGGTCAGAGCCATCAGGAGGGGCAGGGGGCTCAGGGTGGTGGTGGCTTCTCCGGCAGATCCGGTTGAGCAGGACCTTGACCTTGTCCCAGTGGGAGAAATCCCGCTGAGCAGAGGAGGAGGGGTCACCAAGAGCCCTCCCCACACTCAGACCCCCAACCAAGCTCCCCGAGACAGCTGTCACCACAGCCAGGATGAGTCGCCTGCTCCAAACAGGAATCAATCCTGTCATTTTCCCAGAGTTGCTGACCCCCAGGATGCCCAGGCATCCCCACCTCCCCTCCCCCCACTCCAGCCCACCACCTGCCCCACATACACCCGTCCCCTACCTTGTGTCCCTGGGAGGATGGCAAGTGGTACGCTGGCTCCACTGGGGTTTCTGGCAGCCTGGGAGGGTTGGCGCTGGGCACCTCCACCTTTGGGGGTGAAGCAGCCTTTGCCCCTTCAGAAAAAGAATCAGGTTGGCCAGGGCCAGAAGACACCTCATCAAGCTTCAGCTCAGAGGACCTGCTGGTGGGACCCCAGGCATGCAGGACAAAGGGCGACACGATGGCCCCTCACCTGTCTGCTCTGTCTGGCTTAGCAGCTCCCATGGCCGCTGCCCCCCATTACCTGGGGTGTGTAACGGGGACGGTAAAGGGGCTCGGGCTGACTCCTCCTCACCGGGATCCTGTGCACAGGAAAGACAGGTGATCAGGGCCTGGTTAGAGGGGTGAGGCTGTTCTGAGGGCAGCCACAGTTCCCGGGGTCCCATCTGTCCTCTCCCTCCCCCACTCGCTGGCCCGACTACCCCCACTCGAATCTCACTCACCCCTGGGGGCCTCTGGATCTGCAGCTGAAGGTAGAGCTGCTGGAGCCTTGCCATCTGCTCCAGCACTAGGCACAGGTGTTCCAGATAGCGAAGACCCTGCCCAGGGAGGCAGGCCCAGGCTCCAGGCCTCAGGCCCCCCACCTGCGGGACATTGTGAGCTAGGGGAGATTTCAGTCAGGCTCCTTTCCTATCCCAAGCAGCCAGGCTGGGCTCAGCCAGCAGATAGGAGCGGAGTGGGCCCCGAGGAGGAACACACGCAGCCAGCTTCCCCACTGCCCAGCGGGCCATAGTGCCAGGCAGGGCCCGTAGCTGCCCAGCTCCTCTGCGGAGGTGGCCACGCACAAATGGAAGTGGGGTGCAGCAAGAATCTAGGACACAACCCAGCAATTAGGGGCAGGGAGTGCCGCACCCCGAGAGAGAGCTCCAGGGAGAACCAGAGGAGCTAGGCTGTCCATCCCGCTCTTAAACCCAGCCTGAGAGTGGGCACTCACCGCCTCTTCCTCCAGGCCTGCCTCTAGGTCTGTGTCTGCCTCCATGGACTCCGGTTCCCCTGCTCCAAAAAGGGGTACTTCACGCTCGCACTTGCTGGGCGGCCGCAGGCAGCAGTGTTGTCCTGACAAGCTAGCGGGAGCTGTTGGGAGCCGGTGGGAACGCTCCAGCACTTGCCCCAGCTTCTGGCTGGCCAGGAGCTGGTCTACATGGGCCGGGGGCTCGGGACCCCCTGAGGATTCAAAGTCCAGGGAGTCCTGAGAAAGGCCCGGTAAGGCAGCCAGGGGGCTGTCCCCAACTGCCATCTCCACTCCTGAGTCCCGGGAAGCCAGTTTGAGAAACAGCGCCTCCCTGTTGACACCTCTGAGCTTGTCACCTCTCTCCCAGGATGAGCACCCGTGGGTGGCGTCCGGGATCCGTCTGTAGGTGCTGGTGACTCCAGGCACTATGCAGCCCCGTGCCAGGCCCTCGCCAGGCCCATCTGCATGGAGAGTCAGCGTCAGGCTGGGCAGGCCACCCCCAACACCCCCAGCATTCCTGATGGCTGGCAGCACTGCCCCAGGGAGGAGTGTCCTGGACCAGTGAGGAAGGGTGGTCACTGGACAGCCATGGGCCGCCCGGATATGGCCCCAGCTATTTGGGAGATGTGTGGATGGGATTCCCTTCACAACAGTTGTTAGCGACAGGGAACCCGTGCTCTGAGCTCTGTGGTAGGCAAAGCCCTGGTAGGCCACATCCATCCATCCCTTAGATGGCCTGCGCCTGCACTTGCCACCTAGGATCAGCCCACCATCTCCCAAGTCAGAAGTGGGGAGCCACAGGCTCTTCCGCTGCTCCCCAAGCGGGAGTAGGACTGTGTCCAGCTTCAGGGAGAGGGGAGAGGGTACAGAGAGGAAAGCCTGGGATCCAATCTGCTCTCTGGGGGCCCCTGCGGCATCAGGATGCCAGGTGAAGTCTCTCCTGCAGCTCACGGGGAGAGTGATAAAAATCACCGCTCTAACCGATTTGGGTTTCTGTTGTAAGTGAGGAATAGTGAAGATTTTATGAGAAGTTTAAAATTAAAGAACTAAAGTGAAAGAAAGGGACGAAGGGACAGCATTAGCACCCCCTCACTGTCACCTCCGCCAGGCCCTCTCGCGACGAGGCGTCCTGGCGGGATGAACGGTACAGGAAACAGGCCAGGGGGAGCGGCGACGACCTGCGGGGCACGCGGAAGCCGGATGCCAACCCAGGCCCCTCTGGGCAAGGAAGTGGGCTAGGAGGTCACTGGGTGGGAGAGGGGTCCGCAGCCACGGAGGGGGCTGGGGCGCGGGCGGATTCCCACATCCTCAGACGGAGCGGGAAGGTGAGGGAAGCGGAGCCGGAGGAAGTGGGGCGGAGGCGGTGGCTGGTTTAACGCCTGAGTCCAGAGGGGCTCCAGCCTGCACGGCGTCCCCTGATGACCGCCTCTCCAGAGGGAGGCGGTGAGGGAGGCGCAGCGGGGCGGGCGCCGCCCGCCGGGTGCGCGGGGCTGGGCGAGGAGCTGAGAGAGGCTGCCCGGCTTGGGGGCGGGAGGCGGCTCCGGGGCGGGGGGCCCAGTCAGCCTGGGGGTGGGCGACTCACCCCGGCCGTCCACGGCGAAGGCGCGCCGCCGGCCCATCATGGCCCGCTCCCGGCCCCGGCCGCTGCAGCCTCCCGAGGATCCCGGCCCGAGTCCCCGTGGAGCGCGGGCAGCTCAGGGCGCGCGTCCCGTCCCGACCCAGCTGGGCGCGGCCCCCGGACACTCCCAGCGGGGCTGGGGGGCGGAGGGCGGGGCGGCGGGGGGCGTGGCCTAGGGGGAGGGGAGAGGAAGAAGGGAGAGCGAGACGAGGAAGGGAGGGGCGAGGAGAGGGGAGGGGCGAGACGAGGGAGGGGAGGGGCGAGACGCGGGAGGGGAGGGGCGAGACGAGAGAGCGGGGGCGAGACGCGGGAGGGGAGGGGCGAGACGAGGGAGGGGAGGGGCGAGGAGAGGGGCGGGGCAAGACAAGAGATGGGAGGGACGAGGCGAGGGAGGGGAGGGGAGAGGAGGGAGGGAGGGGAGGTGGGAGAGGAAAAGGAGGAGAGGGGCGAGGAGAGGGAGGGGAGAAGTGAAGCAGAGTAGAGACTCGAGGCAAGGGAGGGGAGGGGCGAGGACAGGGAGGGGAGGGGAAAGGAGAAGGGACGGGCGAGGGAAGGGGCGAGAGAAGGAAAGGGTGGGGTGAGGCAAGGGAGGGGAGGGGCGAGGCGAGGGAGGGGGTCGAGGCGAGGGAGGGGGCGAGGCGAGGGAAGGGGCGAGGCGAGCGAAGGAAGGGGAGAGACGAGGGAGAGGAGGGGCGGGGAGAGAGAGAGGAGGGGCGAGGCGATGGATGGGAAGGGCACCAGGTGGGGGTTGCAGGTGGCGGGGTCGCCAAGAATGGGCATACTCGGCCAGCACCTCGAAGGCCCGGACTGGGTGGCGCCCCCAACTGTGGCAGGAGCCAAAATAAGGGTCCCGATCCGCTGTTCTGCGAGGACCCGGCCCCGGCCTGGGGACGCCGTCTGGCTCGGGGCGCCGGGCCACCCGGCTCCCCAGGTTCACAAGCAGGGTCTGTTTTCCTGCCGCGGACTTACAGCCGAGGCTGGCTGGAGGACCAGACAAGAGCCCAGAAGGAAATGGGAGCCCCACGTGCCGGCGGTGGGAAGAGCCCTGACCAGGACGCGGGCACCTGGTGCTCCCCAGCCGTGTGGCTTGGGGCCAGTCCCTTGGCCGCACGGAAAGCTGGGCGATAGGAGGGGAAACGATTCCTGCCCACCGGGAAATCCTTTACAACTGCAGAACATGCGTGTGTCCTTGGCTAGATCTGAACCCCCTCCCGGTCCCGTGCCTCTTTCTCATCCCTGGCTTCCTAAAGCTGGGGACTAGTTAGGTCTCAAGGTCTGGAAAGACGCGAGTCAGTGGGGAGCCGCCTGGAGACTGGGCCAAAGTGTAAATGTCCCCCTGTTCCCACCTCACCCCGCCTTTGGCCCGTGGGATTCCACCCCTCACTCCCCATCCTAAAAGGAACCCAAGCAGCTACTGAAGATGAGAGACAGCTTGGTGACCAGACTGGGGCTGGTGGCCTCTAAGGAAGGCGCCTCCTCCAGAGGGAGGGGACAGGACTGGAAAAATCCCAGCAGGACCCAAATCCCCCGGAGGCAGATAAGGGAGCTGGCGGACGTGCAGACTTGCACCTGGACCTCTAGGGGAGGGGGGAGGCTGGAGCCCGAGCCACTGGAAGGAAGTGGCTGTTAACTGGGAGGTATAAGACCGTCTGTGCATCCCCTTCCCTTTGCTCCTTTCTGGAACCAGTCCCCAAACACCCACTGCAGTCCCCAAACACCCCTTTATCAGACAGCCACAAACTATCAGATTTTAAAACTTTATAAAATGGGGAAACTGAGGCCCATGGCCAAGCCCTGCGCAGGCCGGCTGAATGACAGCCAAGTGCCGGAATTGCTGGCCATGTCTCAACAGAGTCATGTTCAAGCCCAGGCCCTTCCCTGCTAGCCACGGGTCCTCTGGGTTGCCCCCTCCCAGCCCAGTCCTCCTAGATAGTACCCATTCTGCTTCCCACAGGCAGAGAGAACCAGAGTGGTGGGCCTCCAGGAACTGCCTTATACAAGCCCAAGAAGATGTGTGGCATCACACTCACTGCCATGCCAGAGCCCTGCCAGCCCTCCCTGGTTAGGAGGGAGTCCAGACTCCCTCCAAAGTAAGAGGGTGGGGGAGGGAGCCTTTGCCAGATCGCGCCCTGAATTTGGAGAATGTGGGGCAGGATTCCAAACAGTCTCTGTGGTGACTCTGGGGCAGGAATGCATTTGGAAACAGGAAGCCCAGCCAGCAGGAATGCAGTGTCTCAGCACAATGCTTTGTGTGTGACTCAAAAGAACCCCACACACACACACCCCAACACACACTCCCCTCCAGGCCATGGCGCACCCCTCTCCCCTCCCCACACAGATACGACCTAGCCCAGGATCAGCTCAGAGGAACCTTAGCCCTGTGGGGCGCGGGGGCAGGATCTGACCCAACACCCAAAGTAGGGGGGTATCCCCCTTCCTGTGGCAGCCACAGCCCCAAGCCTAGAACCAGGCCAGGACTGAGTGATGCTTGAAGGAATGGGAGGAGCAGCCCCTCCGCACGCTCCTGACAAGGTAAGCCACTGCCATGAGTTCCTGAGACACAGTGTCCAGAGCAGAGTCAGCCCTCAGGCAGAGGCCACTGGTGCCCAGCGGCCCCTGCACTTCCCATGGGGAAGTCCTGGCTTCAGGAAGTGGGTTTCCTGCAAACTCAGCCGGAGCTAGTCCCTGTAGGAGGAAGCACAAAGCTGAGAGCCTAGAGAGGGCTGGGAAGGGCTGTGGTGACCTCCAGTTGTGACCAGAGGTGGCCAGAGCTGTGCCCGGAAGGCTGCCTCTGATAACAAAGGGACAAACTCTGCCCCCCACAAGCCAGAAATCCGGGAAGCAGGCTGTAGATCCATTCCTTACTAGCTAGGAGTACTTGGACCATTTACTGAACCTCCTGGTCCTCAGTTTCCTCATCTGCAGAGAGGATGATAACAGTACCTATCTCGGGTTGTGAGGGTTAAGTGAGTTAAAGCATTGAAATATCCCTAGCATATCAAAAGCACTCCCAGAACTTAACCATTATGACTGTCTAGCTGTGCAGCTTTGGAAAAGCCACTTTCCCTTCTCTAACCAAAGGGGGTTGTATCAGATGCTCCTTTGGGCCACTTCTGACTCTAACCTGTCACTTCAGTTGATCTCCACAATGCAGGAAGGGAAGAGGGCACCGCACTGGACAAAGTCCGGGGAACACAGGCAGTGTGTGGCAGAGGAAGTGGGAGCACGCAGCTAGCTGGCTTAGGGTGGGGACAAGGTCAGAGGTAAAAGACCAAAGACTGCCTGTCCCCAGCCTCCTCTGCTGACCAACTCTTAACTCCGTTCTTCCAGAGGAGTTTGCTCCCGAGCCCAGGCTGATTGTGTGGCTACAGAGAAACCTGGCGCTGAAATACTCAGGACCCCCGGAAGGAGAGCCGGCTGCCACACCAAAGAACAAGGGCCAGAGGGGGATGTGAGCTGGAACCTACAAAGCCTTCGGAAGGCATTCGACGCCTCACAGAATACCCATCATTTCACATGTCCCCACTCCCCACTTCTCCCCCTCCACTCCCATGACACTGCTGGCCCAGTATGGCATACTACATACAGTTGGGAATCTATCCATAGCAGTAATCCAAACCATCTTTTCCAACCTGTCACTTCTCTGCTTACAACCTTCCAAGTGTTCCAGAGCTGGGCAAGGTTAGCTCACGCCTGTAATCCCAACACTTTGGAAGTTCAAGGTGGGAGGATGGCTTGAGGCCAGAAGTTCGAGACAAGCCTGGGCAATATAGCCAGACCCCATCTTAAAAAAAAAAAAAAAAAAAACTTAAAAATTAGCTGGGTGTGGTGGTGCCTTCCTGTAGTCCCAGCTACTTGGGAGGCTGTAGGAGGATCTCTCGAGCCTGGAAGGTGGAGGCTGCAGTGAGCTAAGATTGCACCACTGCACTCCAGCCTAGGCAATAAAGCAAGACCCTGTCTCAAAACAAAGTGTCCCTAGAGCCTCAAGGGGAAGTTCAAACCACTTCTGGCATTGTCAGCTCCCCTCCGATCTTATCTCAGTGTTCCCATTGGCCACTGCTCTGAGCTAAGCATCCCTCCAGCGGCCACCCCATCACTCAGCATTCCTCTTCTCCACCTCTCCAAGACCCAGCCCTCCTTTTGCATCATGGCCACTGCTTTGAACTCACGGGACGCTCCTCCGTGCGTTCCAAGGTAGCCCTTAGCGCTCACTACCACGTCCCCTTATTAATTTATGCCAGCTCAGTCGCTGCCACTGGCCTTCTACCTCCAGGAAGGCGTGAGGAGTGCTGTATCCTTCCGTACTCCCACTGTGCCCAGAAGCCCAGTGTTGCCCCGTGAATGGGCCCCGCCATGGGCTGCACTGGACACTAGGTGGCGCCAAAGAGGCTACCCCGTTTCTGACCAGCGCCCGGGACCCATAGATTCCTGAGCCAGACAGCCTTGATCTTTTCTGTAAAAATAAAGACCTTTCTCAGGCAGCCATCCAGGCAATAGGTGAGACGATGATATCATGGTGTAAATTATATCTACAGGTGCCTGAGGAGGCAACACAAACATCTGTGCCAAGATTCCTTCCACAAAGAGCCAGAGAGCACAAAGCTGCCGGCAGGGACCAGCCAGGCACCCTGGGAAGCCCAGCTTTGATCTCTGAAAAGAGAGCTGGGGCTGCCCCCTCCACAGCAGCCTCTGGGACTAGCACTAGGGGTAGTGGGTGAATCAGGCCCAAAATCCTAGTCTGGCAGGGGGGACCACTGTCCCCTGCCTCAACTCAAGTGCACCCCCAGGGCAGCTCACCTGGCACTGGCCACATGCATTCGTTTTCTTGTTTTTTCAAGAGCCAGGTCTCTCTCTCCCAGGCTGGAATGCAGTGGCATGACCATAGCTTAAGGCAGCCTCGACCTCCTGAGCTGAAGGACTCCTCAGGCCTCCCCAGTACCTGGGGCTACAGCCTGAGCCACCCTGTCCTTTCTTTTCCCCGCTCCAAATCAATCACCAATGAAGCCAGCAGAGTCTCCCAGGAAAGAAGTGGAAGGTGTCAGTAGATCAACCCGGCCCTGGGGGCCCAACCCTTGGTGGGTGGCCGGCCTTCAGGGTCACAGGTTGTCTCACCAGCTTGGCTGGATGGGTCTCCTGGTCTTCCTCCTGTCCCTCTG